TTTCATGTCATGTTTATAGCATTTGGTCCTTTACTTTTAGTCCACAAAATAAAGCACCCATGTTTATGTGCTTTGAAAAGTTGTTTTAAATATGGAATATCCTCCTTTGAGTAAAATTGCAGTAAATATCTGTCTGGAATAAAGAGCACTGCCTAGGAACCACAGGGAGTTTTGGCTTGCATTTGCACAGCTAAGGCGCAGATCTCTAGGGCTCCAAAGGATGCTCTTTGTTTTATTCCTTTCGGAGGGGTTGGTGTCATGCAGAAATCGGTTCAGTGGCACTGAACGCCTTTTACACCTGCAGCTTAACCCCCCCTTGAAAAGCCCCAGCACATCCATCAAACAGATAGGAGCTCTTATTTGCTAATGTCTTCTTGCTAATGCCTCACATTTCCCCATATTGCAATATTTTAAATTAAAACTTGGGGAATCTCGAGTCCATTGTCTGTTAGTTCAGCGTGCTAAAGCGAGCATCCTCTCTCCCTTAGACCCTGAATTCTGTGACCCCTCGCCTGCAAGCGGAGGACTGCAGCATAGCCTGCTTGCCAAGGAACCACGACAAGAACCGCTTCATGGATATGCTGCCACCTGACAGATGTCTGCCTTTCTTAATTACTATTGATGGGGAGAGCAGCAACTACATCAATGCTGCTCTTATGGACGTAAGAGACTATCTTCTTTGTCTGCGTAGTGTACCGTGAAAAGCTGTGTAATATGAGAGAGAGCACTTGCTGGTTTAAGAAAGGATAATTCTTTCTTACTGTAGTGCCCAGTAAAACAGTCCTAACGAAGAAGGGTGGGGGGAATGACTAGGAAACCCCACCAGCTTGTGTTGCTTGTTCAGAAGGTTTGTTATCTTTAGTCTTTTGCATCCTTGTGGGACCCACTGGAAATCTCCCCTTTTCAACAGCATACATAAAGCTCTAGTCTCCAGCCCTTCAAATCTCAGCAGGATCTCAAAAACCTGCTGTTTGTCAGGGACTAAATATTACCTACCTGAGCATGAGGTTACTATTGCTATTTTATAAAAAAGGCTATGTATGTTGAGGCAGGAGAGACAAGGAAAGAGGGAAAAAAAATTGTTTCCTTGGCATGTTTGGGGATATGGCTGGGGTTTTGATTGTTCATATTTTGAGTTGCAGCTCTTTAAAGCTGAAGTTTGAGCAACAGAAGTATTGTCAGGGGAAAAGGTGAATTAATGGGAAAAATGGAGGTCAACCTGCTTATAGGTGTCTGATCGATAAAGCGGTTCGTCACATGTGCTGTCAGATACCTGCCTGTGCCTGCCATTAGCGTTTCCAAAGTCAGGCTCCTAAAGCCACCTTTAGAGTAAATACTTAAATAAGTACCCTGATTTCCAGGAGTATCTCCCCTTCCTCAAAAATGGAGTGCTGTCAGAAACTGCAGTGTCAAGAAGAGATGCTGGAATGAAATGGCAAATAATAGCAGAAATCATCAGGACTGAATGGTATATTCATCCTGGAGTTCTGTCTGAGCTAGCGCAGGAAACATTTGAACTGCTAGCAAAATGCAGTCCTGAATCTCACAATTAGCTATTGTGCCAGAAAAATAGAGGAGAGTAGCATGTGTGAGACCAATCTATTAGGGAGTCGCTGGGGCTGAATGGAAGAATTAGAGCAGTGAGCAGAATTTTGGTAGCAACCAAAATTGTTTAGAATTGCGGTTAAAATTACATTAAGCACCTGGATAAAATTGATGTGCTAGGGACCAACCAACAGAGCTGCATAGAGGAGTGTGGTTTGGGGAGAACGGAAGAGAACACAGGCTGAACGGCTGGGTGGCAGGGAGTGTGTAACAGCATGTGGCAGGCAGGGACAGGAACCAAGCAATGTGTTAAGGGATGAGCAATCAGAAGCAAGTAAGGAAAGACAGAAATGGTGGTAATAAAAGGCAAAAAGCAGCAGAAAAGAAGTAATATATTACAAGGAAGGTGTATAACAAAGCTATAAGTACAGGGTTAAAACTTTGGGTAATAAAAGCTTTTTCTTGCCCTTTCTCTTCTGTTTTGTTTGTTTTTGTTTTTTTTTTTTTAAGACTGATTTATTCAGAGAGGGGGACCCCACTGCTGGGCAAGGAAAGGGGGCTTTCGGTAGCAAAACAGAAATGGAAACTTTCCCCTTTTCACAATGTACTTGTCCCTGCGTTCCCACAAGAAGGTGTCTGCTTCCCAGTGTGACAGCAGATCTCCTGCCTGTTCTTTTTGAAAACCTGATAATCTCAAACTCAATACATTCTGTCATTTCAGGAAAAACCAGAAACGATGGGGAAACATCAGCTCGTACACACTTTATTTCTTAAAAATAGAAGGGAAGAATCGATATTGGTTGTTCCTCTTTGCTCCCTGGGCAGATCTAGGAAGTAGGGCACAAGCCACTGCTGCCCCAATATGCTTCCTGCGTTAGAAAAGGATAGCAAACATAGATGAAAAAATTGTCAGCCTCCTTATTGCGTTGTCAAACAAGTACTGACGCTAAAGACATTAATTTGTTATCTTCACAATTTACAGCAAGTAGAAGGGTGAAAAGAATTGTATTTTTTCCTTCTGGGCTTCACACTATGCACTTCGAGGGTATGTCAATATATTGCACATGAAGATCCCTCATATCAGTCTTCAAGCAAGCAAGCTTCCATACCAGAAGTGGTTTAGCTACCCTAACAGGTCTTTCTCCTAGGTTAATTTACTTAATTCAGTAAAAAAACCAGACAAGCTACTTTCGTACCAGCATGGATGCTAAACACGGGATCTCTGCATTGCATACAGCAGTCCCAGCACTTCATCTTCAAACTGGTGACTGACAATCCCATCCACCTACAAGAATATTCACCATCTTACTCTGTTTCTCAGATTAACCGGTCAGTGCTTTCTTGCCAGTTCAGATCTGTATTCCTTCACTGCAGAACTTTTCTGTGCATGGTTGCAAATTGCCCTGCCAAAGATTTCTGATGTCTCCTCCTCTGCTTGCTGCTTGTAATACATGTGCTGCAGGGAATTAGCCCCTCTGCTAGTAGTTGCATCCCAGCTAACCTATGCAAGGCTGGAAATCCCTATTTGCAGTTGTGTATAATGCAGCATACAGAAAATGGAGGCTGCTGTCATGACAGCATTTTGCTGTTTAATTTCTACTTTCTGCTGGAAATGAGACGCAGTAATCCTGAAGGTCAATTCCATGGGTGACCCTGTGGCTGTGGCTCCAAAACAGAGTTGGGGATTGAGCTTAGTCCCCAGTTCAGTCACAAAGCTCACGTGTAACGTGCTGTGGATGGAGTGACCTTCTGAGACCTCTGCATCCCTCACTGCAACATGGGGTGAAGGTTTCCTGCTCGGTCTCCTGGACACAGTGCCTGGAGCAGAGTTGCCCAAGCCTCAGCTCAGCAGAGCCCTGAAGAGCATCTTCAGTGCCCCATGCATATCTGAACTGAAACAGGGCTTGGCTTGTTACAAAGCAGAAGGCAGACGTGAGCAGTGTAACCTCTTTGTTCTTACTGGAGATGGTAATGTATTTTTAACATCAGCTTTGGTGAAATCTGGTGTAATTGATGTCACAGCTTTGTTCTATTTATATGGTTTTTCTGTTGCAGTGTTTGAGTGGAAGTTATTAAGTACTTCCTCTACTGGTGCTAATAAAATCATTTGCCTTTACAGAGCTACAGGCAGCCAGCAGCTTTTATTGTCACACAACATCCTTTACCAAACACTGTGAAAGATTTCTGGAGATTAGTGTATGACTACGGCTGTACTTCTCTTGTGATGTTAAATGAAGTCGACTTAGCACAGGTTAGTTTGGGGCTCAAGTTTTCCATGTACCGTCGCATGCTTTAATCGCTCGAGATCCACTACATGATCAAAATGTAGAGCAGTGCAGTGACTTTACAGTTATTCTCTGCTTTACAATAACTGATTAACACTACTTGCTCAGTAAAGGTTAAGTGAGATGTCTGCAGTGGAGCAAGGCAACGCTGAAGTTGTAACTTACCATTTAACTATGCCTGGTTTGCTCTGGCGCAGGGCTGCCCGCAATACTGGCCTGAGGAAGGGATACTGCGGTATGGTCCCATCCAAGTGGAATGCATGTCGTGTTCAATGGACTGTGACGTCATAAACCGAATTTTCAGGATATGCAATCTAACAAGAGTAAGCCTTATCGTAACAATTTGTAATGCAAAGTATGTAATTTTTAACGCTTTCTAGGCTCTTGTGGTTTTTATTTTTGAATAATAGTAAAATACTAATCTTCTTAAGACATTGTGCAGAAAAGAGTCAGTCAAGCATCGATAGCTATTACTAATTTCTAGTACTCTTCTACAGCTACACACTAAGCAGAGAGAGCAGTAAGGTGAGTGACTGTTGTTCTCTGGCGATCGCCCTAAGGAGTAGATGTATGAGAAGTATTCTGTTCGTTCAGTGTACAGTGAAAGGAATACCCCCATAATGAACATATAATGACAGGTATTTAATTCATAGTTTCCGTAAGACATTTTCCGCCGTGAATAAGGAACAGGAGCACTGGGGCTGGTTATGCAACCTGCACCTTCTCAGCCTGAGATATGAGAACCACAACATAAAAGGAGGATTGTGGCACCCTGCAAAGCGGGGTGTGAAAAAACTCTGAAAGCTCCTCTGCCTCTGAAGGGTTCTACACCTCTGTGCCTCGACCTACATTTACCATCTTGTTCTCAACTTCAGTAGCAGTGCCAGTCTTGCATTCTTGTCAGCTCTTTCACACCTTGCACCATCTTGTCTTTTTGCTGCCCCGTAGTGTTTCGCACTGTCACAGAACTTCTCAAACCCTGTTTGCCGCCCAGTGTCTCCTCCTTTAGCTCACCTCTATAAATTACTTATGTTGCCTACAAGTACAGAGTTACAGATGCTTGTCCCACCGTTATATGTACAGTTAACCAGCAATCCCTATTTTACTTACCATTACTATGTATCTTTCATCCAATACAGAACTTACACACCACCAAATGCTACTTAAGAGTATACATCTAACTTTCATTAACATTGAAGAATAGTTGTGAGGAAAACTGATTACTGTCTATATAAAGATTTTTTTTTCTTTTATCTTGATCACATTTTCATTTTTCAAAGTGCAGAAATCAGTTTGCGTGTGGCAAGTATTTTAGTTAAATTTTCATTTTGCTTATATTCAGAGCTAAGAAAAACATTTTCAGCTCTTCATACCTAGTTTGGAAAGTACAGGAAGCTAAGGTGTAGGCACAAGGTGTAGGCACACTGGCAAATATTACGCCATAGCACTTTTTTTATTGTATTTTGCGACTTCCTCTTTTTTGTTCATTTCTTATTTTCACTTTTTCCATTTCTTCTTTTTTACGATGTTTTGATTTTCTACTCCTCTACTTCTCTTTGTCTCCCATGCCTTTTCACCTTTACATCTTGTTTCTAAATATATCTCTGCTCTGTTTTTCATTTTCTAAAATCCACATTCCTACTCCTTTTCGTCATCTTAAGCTCCAAGATACTGAATAGATTATTTATTCTTCCAATTAATGAGGCGTTTCTTGTGACAGTCTAATTCTATTCAGAGCTCTCCCTGTGTAACATCTAGCACGTGGAAGGCTCTCATGATGATCATAGTCTGGCAAAAAGGGAAGAGTTCAAGGAAAACAGTCATATTTGTACACCAATATTGCTTGTTTATTTATAATGGGGTCAATTCATGCATGGGAACCAAAGGTATGTTTCTTCATTTCTGTAGTTCTTCAGAATTTAACTGTGATGTTTTTAATTGATTGTTGATGTTAAGGATAAAAACCCTTGACAAGTAAAATCTAGGGAATTTGTCCATTTAGAAGTCAGGATAGGTTACATTAGTGATTGATAAACTGTGGTGATGTCTTCAATGTAGTTCCCTTTTTTTCCCTTTTTAGACATCTTCCTTGAGCTCAAGTGGTACAAATTAACAGAGATCCTACCAAGCAATGTATAGACATGTTGGAATCTGTCCATAATATCAACACTTAGGTTTCATGTTATTTTTATATTTTGGTTTTCTAAACCAAGATGTAAAGGTGTCATATTGATCTAAAGCCCTTTGGTTTCCCTCAGCCACAAGAAGGCTATCTGATGGTGCAGCAATTCCAGTATTTGGGATGGGCTTCTCACAGAGATGTACCAGCTTCCAAGAGATCCTTCTTGAAGTTAATTCTCCAGGTTGAAAAATGGCAAGAGGAATGTGAAGAAGGGGAGGGCCGGACCATCATCCACTGCCTGTGAGTAACTAGGAGAAAGTCAAATTGCTGCTCTTCAAATAAATGCTTATAAATTAATTCTTGTTTTAAGTTCAAGCAGTATTCTTATAACTACATTCTTTTGCACATGCCCTTGTTTCTTTTATTTAAAACAAAACAAAACAAAAAAAACAAAGAAAAAAGTACCACTGCTACTGTAGGTCGACTTTTGGTCAACTTTTGGATTGGTCTGTGTCAGGTCAAAGTACCATGGGAATGAGTATTTTGGACATGATACTACAGTGATCCTGTGTGTTGTCTCCTTCTGTACACAATAGCGTGTTTTTCAGGTACAAAATGTGTACAGAACAATTTCTTCTGTACAGTTTCAGTAAGGAAGTCTTATGCTGAGTGCCAAATAGTTATTTTTTCTGTAACTCTTGCATATCGTGTTGCATTTTTTCCAGAAGGCCTACTATATTTTGAGGGGTTTAGACTGAAAACTATGGATATATCAAATCAGAGAAAAGTTGTGTAATACAGTACAGGATCCTAAAACTATTGTTGGTAAATGACTGCTGGCTGCTTATCTGAGCCTGATATTTAAATAGGAGGTGGTTTGGGAGTTTTGAAAAAGCATCATCTTTTTCTCCCTAAGCAGAGAATGACCAATCTCTCTCATACCTAATTTGAATATAAAGTTTAAAACTTAGAAATTGAATTATGCATTTCTCCTTACTTTTAAAAAAAGGCATCTGTTTAAATGTTCAGAAATAACTTGTGTGGCCCCGTTCTGCCCACCCCTCCTCATTATCCATGGAACCTTCTGGTTTAAATTAAACTTAATAAGAAGAAATAACCACCTTAATTTCTTTGAAATGAAGATTAAAATAGTTCAGAAGTGTCCCCAGTGGTCAACAAGATATCAAATTAGTCATGCCTTGACATTACTCTGGTTTGATAATCCTCATACCATAGGATAATTTAAGTGAGTGTCTTTCCAGAACTAAGTGGAAAATGTTGTACCTGCCATTGAACTTGGGTTTTGATTTCTAATGTTGTACTTGCCATTGAACTGAGTTTTTTATTTCTAATGCTTATGTAAATTAAGCTATAGCATAGCTGGGCAGCATGGTGGGCTGTAAGGGCAGAATTCAAAAGAAGTAATTGAGTGGAAGGTCAGAAACAGCAAATGTCTCGGACCAAACCCACTGGAGCTGCAAGGAGATTGCTAAAGCCTGGTGTCCCGGTGGGACTCACGAATCACTCATGTTTACAGAGTTTAAGAACAGAAATGCATTTTGGATGCTCTCTTACGCCGTAGTGACATTTAACCAGCTCTTTTCCTTGTGTACAGAAATGGCGGTGGCCGGAGCGGGATGTTCTGTGCCATTGGCATTGTGGTTGAGATGGTAAAAAGGCAGAACGTGGTGGATGTTTTCCACGCCGTGAAGACTTTGCGGAACAGTAAGCCCAACATGGTGGAAACTCCGGTAAGCACCAGCCCATCGGGCTTACTGCAAACAGCCAGGGAGGCAGAGGCTCTCTTGTCGTGTGAGCTGCGTTTTCAGTCCTGTGCCCACAAAACAGAGCAAACCGATGTTGGGCCACAAGAAGATAGAGACGTTTATTAAGTGTACACACAAGTCAGCAGCAGGAGAGGCCAGGCTAAGCATTTTACGCTACTTTTCTTGTAGTGGTACCATGCTTTTCACAGAAAACGTTCTGAGTTAACAGAATGCACTTTAATCTCCCAAAATAACCTGGACTATTTGAAGAGAAGTTGCAGTGGGTTGCGCTCACACAAACTGTCTTGAAATTTTACAGAGCAAGGCAGTTCTTCTTGGTAGGAATAAGCTGTAAAGTCCAGATTAGTAGCTGGAGATGGGAATCTTTTCCTTGTTAATAACAACTGCTGCTTTGGAAGCTGTACTGAATAATGATAATATTTGTTACTCAGATTTGTAGTAGTCAAAATAATACCTCAGAACTTTAAAATCAAAGGCTTGCATCTAGTATGTTGCAAATAAATATATAGAATCGTAGAATCATTTAGGTTGGAAAAGACCGTTAAGATCATTGAGTCCAGTAGTTAACCTAAATAATAAACATATAAAAAATAAACTAATATAAACAATATGAACCTGAATTAGCAAAACCACAAGACTAAATATTTGTATGTACATTGCCATAACTCAAAATAACCTTCACTCTCTGGTCAATATTTATGCACACAGTATGAGTGCGTATCCATTGGAGTGATCACTTCAGTCACGAAAACTGAACATTGTGGAGAGTCCTTAAAAAAATTCTCCCAAGTGGATTTTTTTCCTTCCATAGGTGAATGTGAAAGCAGGTTAGACAGTGTTTGGGAGTTTCTGCCATTTGACTCTCACACTGCCAGCAGCCAGTGTCACTTTTCAGCCAGATGGCTGCCTACAGCATAAAAATCAGGGATGCCAATTGAAATTAAAAACATTTTGCAGCTTATGCATAGTGAAAATTGTTTCTGACCTTATGAACCTGCATACTGAGCAAAATGGCTGCAGCTGCCTCTTCCCATATTGCCCTTTTTTCCAGGTGTCGGTGTTTGCTTAATATCAAGTAGCTTCCGTGGCATGATTTGCCTAATTGTTATGCATCACTTCCATCCTTCGCCACCACATAAATTAAGAAGGTGTTTAAAGTGTTAACAGATAGAGCATCCTGTAGCAGCAGTGACATTGGGCTAGGTATTGCTGGTTTTGCCACAAATACTTTGCAGTGAGCTGTGCCATAGACGTCTGAGACACAACATATTGAATTGCTGCCTGGATTTCAGTTCACTGCTGTGAAGAAAACAGGTCAGATCACATGGAAAATTACTTGTGTCACTGTAAAGGGAGGCCAAGGTAGATTGTGTATGTTTCTGATAAATGGTCTGTAAACTTATGTTTCGTTTCAAAATAGTCCTAAATTCCATTGTAGCTTTAATCAGCAGTTACTGAATTTCTGTAGTTACGTGTTTCTGTTGTGTGGGTTTTTATTCAGAGCTCTTGAACAGCAGCAGCTGTCGAGTCGTTAGTTAGAAAACAAACGAGGAAGACCAGTGTATAACACTGTCACGTGCCCTACATTCAGCAACATGATCAGATAACCAAAATGAGCAGCGCAATAAAGCCTTTAAGATATCCTCACCACTTCCTGCTAATGGATCATGCTGGCTTCCTTTGCAAACAAAAATAAATCACAAAAGCAGATTTGTTTTGTTAGGTTGCAGTTGAGTTCATTTCCTTGTTTTTTCTTCTTCTTGCCCTCTCCTCTATCCTTCCTCCTCCCTTTCCCTCAGTATCAGCTCTGAACAGCATCCTTGTTAAGGAGAAATACTAACCATGATGAAGTTTTGAGCTTTAACTTCTCTTTTACATGATCTCTGGGATGTTACATTGATAGGACTGTACAAACGGGCTGTGGGCCCAGAGCAGCTCTGTATCACAGCGCAGTATTCCCTCGCCTTTCCCTGGCTGTCCAAGCAGCAAGCAGGAGTTAACTGCTCGGTATCAGCTCACTTAAATATAAATGGTATATCAGAGTCGAGGTGCTTTCACTGCAAGAATGCTCTGGCTGATAGGAGAACTTTTCATGTTTGATAAACCAGTTCAGAAGCTGAAAAAATCAGAGAAGCATATCATTGCATTTCATGGTTAGGTTTTTTTTTCTAGTTCGTTGGTTAGGGTGAGTTTTTAAATCAGAGCTGGTAATACACTTGTGTAGTAGGGAAAAAAAAAAAGAAAGAAAGAAAACCCAAGCATGTCAGGCTTGAAGTTAAAATTGCATAGTAGTTAGCAAAGACTATTCTTGTTTGTAGATACTGCTGCTAAGACTTTAGAATCTTAATTTAACAACTTCTCTTTTTTTTTTTTTCCTCTTTCCCCTTAAAGGAGCAATATCGCTTCTGCTATGATGTTGCGCTGGAGTACCTGGAATCCTCTTAGTTGGAATGGATGTGACAAAGTTCACCAAATACATGAATCTCAATAAGCTGTTTTGACAACAGTTCTTGATCCTGTGAAGAAAGATTTTAGGGGAAGAGGGGGGTGGGAGGGATTTTAAATTTTAAATGCAAAGTATTTTTCTTATGAAGTTGTGTATCTTAATAAAAGAACTCAATCTGTTTCTATGCTTGTATACAGTATCAACATTTAGTGCCACATAAATACTATTTAATGAAAACCAGAGTCAGAAGAGATTTGCGCCAGTTAGGACTTTTCAGTGTTTGTATATGCAGCCGTCTCTCAATTCCAGTAGAGCGACCATCTGTTGCATGTATCAATATTTCCTATATGGTATTAATTTTTCTTTTTTTTCTTTTGATACATTGTTGAAGTACAATAACAGTGCAAATTGATAGTAAGGTTCATTCTTTATACGTTTCAAGTGTTGCATATATATATTATATATAGTAAAAAAAACCTGGCTTATTTTGTTTTAATGTGCAATGATGGCTGGATCACATAACGATCTTTATAAAGAAACTTAAACATAAGCCAAAGACTCAAGTGTAAATATGTCTATATGGAGAAAGCACATGTATTTATTGTTTACTTGCATTCCTTTTTTGATGGCTGAAAAAAGAAGAATCATTTTTCTTGAAGAAAGCTTTTTTTGCTGAAATCAAGTGTAAACAATTTTTGTAGTTTATTTTTTGTATGTTTTAGTGTAAGTAGGAGACATACTTTTTATGCATAGACCAAGAACATTGGTATAGTGGTTTTGTTGTGTACATGCTTGTGATTCAAATCCATGTAAACAACTCAGTTATAGAAGGTCTTTAACTACAGGGCCAAAATCCAAACATTTTCCTGAAAATGTATAGTTTTTCACAGTTGCATTAATTAAGTACTGATCAAAAAACTATGTAAGGAAGGGCACACATCAAAATTACCTTGCCTATGACTTGCACAATATTAGAAGAGATTTTTAAGCACCGATGGTTGTGAGGGAACCAATTGTTTAAAAAAATATGGAAGCACAGGTCAACAGGAGAACTGCCAGACAAATAGATGGCTCTGCATATGCCCTTCAGGGTAAAAAAGTATTTGTTTAGCAAATTGTAAAATTAAGCAATGTTTATTTTGATGTTTACGAACATGTAAGCTTTGCTTCCAAGAAAGCAAAATTTGAATAAACCAATGCCAGATTCTGATTATAGTTGTGGTGTACAAAATATTACTGTGCTTTCGCTTAGCTGGTATCCAATTGTTCACAAGGTTTCCTATATTTCAGCAGCTAATATCATTCCAATCTCTTGTTGGTCTTTTTTAGAGCTGACAGTAAAATTATAAGGTGCTTTTAAATAATCTGTAAGAGTGAATTAAACTTTTATTTAAATATTATTTTATATTATTTCCTATTTTGATACCTTCTCACTTACTGTCCTTGTTAAGGAGTCATTCTTGTCCAGAAGACCAATATACTTGGATAAGGAAGATCTCAAAAGGAAGTTATATTATTTTTCACCTCAGTGTTTTGGGGAGTATTTGAGAAGACTCCGTGTTGTCTGTATGCCCTAAGTTTCTTCCTTTACTTCAGACACATGGAATTACTCATCCAACACTGTAAATGGCAGACAAATGTTTAGAGAAATTCTACTTCTCAGATTTTTTTCAGTGCCTCCCTCTGTATTGCATAGCTCCACTTCTTCCACATCTAAAAAAATCATTGTTAGTTCCTACCTATGAACAGCAAGGTAAACAAATCAGGTTTGAAAACGTTCACTGGGTCTGGATTCTTAATACTCAAAATTGCTCTTTTTTTCTTTTGTTGCGTTGGAAAGGGGATTATAAGCTGCATGCAACAGGATTGCAACGTTGCCAGCTTTCTCTGCCAGGCCATGGTGTTCGGCTAACTTTGGCAGTCAGAAGTGCTGGATGTGTCATCTAAAGCTGTCTGGGCACCACGTTTTGTGGAAGCAACGCACCGTCTCCACAGACGGTTGCGTCCTGCCTGTTAGACATGTGTCTGGGACTTAAATGAATTGGACTCTGGAAGAACGTTCCTCTGTTGTCCATAAAGGGTGTTGAGAAGATTAGTATAGATTAATTTTTTGACAGGTGAGTAGATGTTAGGGTTGTGGAATGCAAAAGCCACATTCCGTACTGATCAGAGTGATTTTTATGGGCTTTTATTTTTCCTTTCGTGATCGAAAATATAGCATTACCATTAGGCTGAATGAGTCATTATTTTCAAGGAGAGCTCATGTGTTGGAGACAATGGGGTCCATCCCCACCAGTATTTCATAATCCTTGGTAAGATCTTTGTGTCCGCTTTCCCCTGTTCGTTCAGGAGTGGTGCAAATGCCAGTATGAATCCTGGTGTCGCAGCACACCGTGCCTGCACAGGAGCCCTCCGTGGGAGCATCCCCTCGGCTAGAAGGTGTTCGAGCTGCCGATGGTTGTTCTGCAAATGGGAACTCTGCCTGTGTTGTTCAAGTACTGACAGTCTCGTCATTTCCGTAACTAGCTGACTAGTGACCTAATGAGATTTTGCAATAACTCTTGATTGAAAAACTTGTGGGTCGCAGCACACCGTGCCTGCACAGGAGCCCTCCGTGGGAGCATCCCCTCGGCTAGAAGGTGTTCGAGCTGCCGATGGTTGTTCTGCAAATGGGAACTCTGCCTGTGTTGTTCAAGTACTGACAGTCTCGTCATTTCCGTAACTAGCTGACTAGTGACCTAATGAGATTTTGCAATAACTCTTGATTGAAAAACTTGTGGGAAGTTCTTCCTTGCAAGGCCAAGGAAAAGTATGCAGAGGGAATATGATGTGTGAGAAGCAGATCAGAAATCTCATTCTCCAGTATATCCTGGGGGGGGGTTCTTAGGCAAAAGGCAATATTAGAGCCAGCTTTTCAGTATAAAATCAGGGAGAGAGGGTTTGCTTTCATCGTGGCAGTCCTTTCCCCTCTCTTCTCTCACCGAGCAGCAGCAGATGTCAGTTTTGTTTTCTGGGAGCACCAGCTCTGTTCGCCCAGACAGGTCCTGCTCCGGTATCCTTTTCTCACACCTGAGCGAGACAGAAGAAAGAGAAGTGTGGGACTAGGAAAACCTGCCTCAGAGGAAGAAAAGGTATTTCTCATTAAGGGAATGTGCAGTGGAGGGAGAAAAGTATTCCTGACCTTGGGCACTGGAAGAGGGAAGTATTTTCCTCCCTGAGGCAGTGAAAAGCCACCTGCACCAGTATCACAATGTGTCGGCAGCTCCTGCCCTGGAGCAGGCCATAGGTTTCAAGACTCCTTCTCAAAATCTTTCTGCCGGCTGCTGCCCTTGCTGAAATACCAGCACAGATTCAATCAAGTGGCTACAGCTTGCAAGGTACATGGGCTCCGCTTTCCTCAGCGGCATAAAACGAAGACTGGACCAACATGAGCAGTAAATATGGAGAGGGCAAAAATGGGCATCAAGTCGGAATATGAAGAAGAGACATGAAAGACTTCTTCCGTGGAGGAGTGTGAGATGATTCAAATTTGAAATGAATGAAGTTGAAACTGGTCTAATGTCACGTAACGAAAGGAACCAAAGGAGCATGTAAGTTCTCCAAAACATGATTGCTCTGTGTAAGAAGGTATTCTTTGCTCCAAAACTGGTAAGTGATGAGTGTAAGTTCTCCAAAACATGATTGCTTTGTGTAAGAAGGAATTCTTTGCTCCAAAACTGGTAAGTGATGACTCCAGCGTCCTAGTCTTCATAGTTGCTAGTGGAAGGAGTTCTAAGTGTCACTTAGATGGCTTTGGTTCATTCTCTATAGAACAGTAACCAAAGAGATAACTTAGGGACGTGTTCAAACCATCTGAATTTTCCCTAAATAACCAGATCTTAGGATCCAACGCTGATGGACCATATCAGGCCTTGAGCACCTTAAATCCTTGGAAATATCCAAAGCAGTGTCATCGATATTAAAGTTTGCTAAAACAAGAGCTACTAAACCTCAGCATCCTGTATGGAGAGAGGCTTCTCTCTTTTTTGGGGTGGTTTGGGGGTTTTTTGTAGCACTCTGAATCTGCCTGTTCATAGTGACCCAGCTCCAGCAGAAGGAGATGTGAAGAGACCCAGTTTTTGAACTTTTATCCAGGTCCTGAGAGATCAGACCCCAGCTGGTGGATGAGACCCTAGAATTTACATTGCCTGCTTCCTGGGTAAATGCTGCCATCGGGAAACAACAGCTTTGGAAGAGGCTTTGCCTTCCTAGAAAACAGTCACAGGCATGAGTTTGAAACTTGAAGCTTAGTATTCTCAGTATATGCAGGCAGTTACTGGGATTTATTTCATGCAGGAAGTCGCTCATATAATAAAATTATGTAGTTTATGGTATGTCCTTGCCTTGCCCAAGGTACTACATTAAGAAACACAATGTACCTCAGAGAAACATGAAAGCAAAAGTGGCTGCAGAAGTGTGCTCTTTCAGACAGGTAAACGATTTCCAAAATCAAAGGTCTACAAAAACAAACTGGGGAGGCAATGGCAGGGAAGTGCTATGTCACTGAGCCTCCAAAGTGAATTGAAATGTTAAAGGACAAAGAAGGGGCAGCCTGAGAAAAAATGTTGCAGAATCATTGCATGGCCAGGCCACCTGGACCGACAAATGACTGCATAAAGGGCTTCTTTTGAGCTTCATTCTGCTGCTGTGTCAGAAGAAACCCTGAGATCTTGGAAATAAATCTAAAAGCTGCTTTTATAATGCCCTGCTCTGTACTGAAAAGAAAAGTAACTCATTTTCTACTGTACTTTCCCGTGTCACGTAGAGGTCTGAATTGAGTTAAGTGATCGTAATCTCACAAAAGAACCTTTGTGGTGGTTTATTGCTAGTGCTCTTCCTTTGTTAAACAGTCAAAGGTCTTGTAACCTCTGCAGATCCAGGATAGTCAAGGGTATCTGTGAATATTCACTTACGTCTTTACCTTCTGGAGTTGAATAATCTGCTAGGAACAGATTGTGTATACCGAGTATGAAATTTTTCTGAATATGCAGAGGTTTAGTTCCATAAATTTCCCTTCAACTTTATGCAGCAAAACCTTTTTTTTTTTTTTTAGCTAGAGGCTCTGTTTGAGCAAAATTTGAGATGCTGACAATATAGAGGTAATTCTAAATTATTTTAAGCTTGCTGGATGCTTTTTCTTTAAGCCTGAGTAAAAGAATGATGTGAGATTGTGGTGGTGGTTGACAGGCATAAACGTTTTTTTGGCCCACGCTTCTCAGAAATTAATTCTTTCCCTGCTGTTAGGTTTAGAGTCCTAATTTATGCAGAGATTGACATGTATGATGACAGGCACAATGGGATGCTTACCTAATAATAATGTTTATTAACTGTGTCTTGACCAACAAAGAACAGATGTTTTTGTGCCTTGTTGAGATACAAAAGCTTGATTTCAATAGTCTGTTGTAACCCCTTCCAGTTTCCATATGGATCAGAAAATAGTCCTGACTTCACAAATTACATCAAGATAAGTTTGAAATCTCCATATGCTCAGAGATTTTTTAGATCTCCACTAAGTAAGCAGAAAAAATGAAGTCCATATTGAAAAAAGCGCAACAAATCCTCTCTTCTGGACATGGAACTAAACCATGATCTTTCTGCAAGCTTTGGAATACCCTGGAGCTTTTTGGTAACAAGCATAAAAATGGCATCTGGCAAAACACAGCACCTCCAGATTGTGATAATATGTGTGTATTTTCCTGCCAGGTGCAAACCAGTGTGAGCTCTTTCCATTTCACGGTGGGAAACTTTTGTCTTTCTTTTGTGTACCTAATCTTTTGTAGAATAGTAACTGAAACGACACAGTAGTTTGCCGAGTCCTGAAATTTTGAAGAAAGTTGCTGTCTTTTTGCACTCCGATAGCAAACGTGAAACCAGAGATTACGGTATCTTTAGAATTTCTCTCTCGAGGTAACCAGTGAGTTGTTTTTTGTAGCAGCCATAAAGCCGAACTATGATAAGTTTCAGAAAAGTTTTGAAAGACATTTGTTTTGCTTAAGTCCCAGCAGGTGCAATCCCAGTTCATTTGTGGTCAAGGACATTAATTCTCGCTACTCATGTCTTACTACTCTTTCTGATCCACTTGCTGTATCCATAAGCAGGCACAATAAATAACCCACCTGGACCCACACTCTGAACTATCTTCAGCACAGAAAGCTGGTGCTGTGGCCTTTTTCCCCAGTTTCAGGATGAAGTTGTTATGAAACTTGCTGATGATACAGATTAGCAACACAAAATTGCCTCTATTTACTGAAAATGCTTGAAACTGCCTGCTGAAGGCATGTGTGCCTTCATTTTGAGTGAGGTAGAAATCATACACTTAGGAAGCTGTGGCCCTGGTGCAACCTTTTCTGTTG